CACTATCCAGTGTCACGCCTAGATCAGTGGCTGAGGTCACAGGAAACAGTTTTTTCCCCAATAGTAAAATATGGAAATCTGCCGGTATCTGTTTCAACATATAACGAGTTGCGAACACAAGTAATTTCGTCTTATTGGAATTAATAATTTCGTCTTATTGGGATTAATATGGCAATCATGCTCGATATGTTCACGTCTTGTAGTTCGGATTCTGGTTTATCCGTCTGCCATAACGGCTTGTCTTCAGTTGAGGTAGGTTTGGCGCTTTTGGGATTTGGATGTTGTTTCTTTCTGCAGTGGTTGTTGGTAATTGTGTTTTCGCTGGTCTTTCCCCAATGCGTCGACATTGACGGAACTCTGATCGCTTAGCGACTTCACTTGCTTGCGAAATACTTCGGATGCTCGGCATATATCCAAGGTTTTCTGCAGAGTTAACTCGGATTCACGAAGTAGACGTTCTTTAATACTTTGGTTACGAATTACACAAACTATCCGGTCACGAATTAGCCGATCGTGAAGTGTCTCAAATTCACATGTTGCTGCGAGAGTGCGCAAAACAGTCACATACTGGTCGATGCTTTCGTTTTCGTCTTGATTCCGTATGTTGAATTTGTGTCGTTCGAACGTAATGTTCTTTCTCGGGTTACAGTAGGTTTTAAACGCTGATTTTAGCTCGTTTGTTGTTCTCTTCCACGTTGTTGCCCCCTCTTGGTTTGTCTATGTTTCTGGCGTTGCGAACGTCAAGGTCTTGTGAACTTCTCGGCCTTTCTCTCCAATGCATAGAAGAAAGTATGAGCATCTTTCGTCTTCAGACCGTCCTTTCAGCTCAGTCTTCTCGAAGAGCGTCCAGTGCTCCTCAAACTTGCGAAAGTTTTCACTGACGTTCCCGTCTAATTTCAAAGGTTTAGGCGCTGCCCATTGAAGGTTTCCTGATGCCATGTTTACTGCTTTTTATGGCATCCCACTCCTGACACCATGTAATACTTCTATGTGCTTATAGAAGATACACGTCTGATTATGTCTAGGTGTTCTAGCGAGTCCTTGAGGTTTCTATTACAATTACATGTGCTAGTGATTATGATGTGAACTGTCAATCAACCTAATTGATGTATGTATATAGCTACTATATATGAGCATATATTACAGCTCCGGCCTATAAACAATCGAAATTCGGCACCAAACTGTACTGTATTATCTGTAAGAGAATACTAATTAAGCGCGCACGCAACCTCGTACCCAGGATCTCGCACGCACTGTCAAGAATAGCATTTTAAACTATTAATTTCTCAGCTGCTATTCCATAGGATTTTTTAAAACTTCCATTTCTTGTACAAAATTATCTCCTCTTTCCACTGGTTATTGAATCTTGTGTGGCTCCGGTCTGTAAACAATCGAAATTCGGCCCCAAACTGTTCGGTATTATCTGTAAGAGAATACTAATTAAGCGCGCACGCACTGTAAAGAATAGCATTTTAAACTATAAATTTCTCAGCTGCTATTCTATAGGATTTTTTAAAAACTTCATATATTGTACAAGATTGTCTCCTCTTTCCACTGGTTGTTGAATCTTGGTTGGTTCCTTTTTCGCGGACTTTTGGAGAACGAAGCATGGCAATCATATATGAAGATGTCAGTAAACATATATATGAGCTATTGTAATAACAAAACACATTGATATGTGAAAATGTAAACGTATGTGCAGTAATAAGAATGAAAGAGGCATACACATGCATTGATATATTAAGAATTTAAAATGTTTAATATACATGACTCATGAGGTAATATTATTACCTCATGAGTCGTGTAAATTATACATTTTAAATTCTTAATATGTCAATCTTTCATTGACTGCTATTATTAGTAATAAGAGAACGAAGCATACGCATTCATATATGAAGATGTAAACATATATGAGTTATTGTAATAACAAAACACATTGATATATGAAAATGTAAACGTATGTGAGGTAATAAGAATGGAAATATCTGTTTATTTTCACCATATGCACGATGTGCACGGATCGTACGGATTTAGTGGCCAGGGCATCAATTGCATGATTAGTGTTTGTTGCACTGTTGGAGGTAAACACGCGTGTTACGGATCGTGAGGTACATTTACGATCTGTGTCATATAGTGATTGTTTGACCATGTGTTACGAATCGTGAAGTATATTCACGATCTGTGTTGCATCGTGATTGTTTCACACTTTCACCATGTGTTACGGATCGTGAACTATGTTCACCATCCGTGGCCCATCGTGATATTGGACATGTATGCCTGCGTAAAGGCTAGTTTCCACTCAGGAAAATTATCCGTGGATTGTAACAGACAAGAAAATTTTTCTTTGTCTTGTGTGCTCTGGGTTGGAACAAATGACTTCAACACAAAGAAAAATTTTCTTATCCGTTCCAAACCATGGATAATTTTCCAGTGTGGAAACTAGCCTTAACGGCTCTCAGGGAAGAAGAGCCTGCACGAGATCTACTGTTTTGCCATTCCCGCCCACTTAGCCTACAGGCTACGCCCACTTTTAGCAGATCGATGTCAAAATTGGCCAATCACACAGATTGTTTACGTTTGCAGATTTACTTGTCAAAATGAAATAATATAGATTGCTTTACGTTTGCAAATTTCAAAACGAAATAATATACGGAGGTCGGCTAAGGAAAATTGAAGTCTGTGGGAATAGCACTACAGCAGTCTCCGTCGTCCGATCGTCGTCACAAGTAGATTGAAGTCCGTGTGGAGAAAGCTACGGAATCTCGTGGACTCGCACAAATTAGTTTTGACAGCGGTCAACCGTAATGTAAATGTCAAAACGTCCAGCGATGCAGGGAAGAAAAAGGTGTCAGAAGCCGTCACTCAAGAGAGAGCAAGTCGGCTGTTCGTTAGCACAAAATTATTAGCTACAAAATCATCAAGAAAAAACTATTTGTCGTCGATGAAAACGAACACGCTCGTGAAAGAGACGCGGCTAACAGAAAGCAATCCAACGAAGACACCACGGTCACTAGCTTACGGTGTAGACCCCAGCAGAAACACGTAGGCCGGGCAAGCTTTTCTTCGTTTATTCGTAGACCCTTCACGAAACGTGTTTTTGCTGGCGTCTACACCGTGGGCTACACAGCCACTATCTCTAGAGCTTTATGAACAAATTAAAGTTCGTGAACATCTTTTTTGTTTATCCTTAAATGCAAATCGTGGCCTTTAAGCTCTTTTGAATGCAAAACTCAAGAAACACCTCCCAAATGCATCTGCCGTGTTTGTTCGTAATCAAACTATCAATCACTGATTATTTTAGCAAAAATTAGCATATTTTTCATTTTGAACCAATCAGATTTCTCGTTCTCTGCGAGAACGAGTAAAAATAAGTACGCTACGCGTACACGAATCTACGAATAGCAATAAATTGTTGCCCCATCCTACCCAGTAGTCAATTGACAGCTCTAAGAAGTGAATGGCCGCCAAGCACTAGCTAGTCTAGAACATAATCAGAAAATAATATATGTGTGCATAAACAGGTCATTGATATACCAGTAATTTGCGCTAAAACGGTTATTCCGGATTAAAATATTTACAATTCTAATTGCAGGGCGATACTTAGTTGCACACTTAACAAATCCATTGCAGTAAAATCCACAGTAACTGTGTCTTAAGGTCCAGACACACCGGACGCGAATCGACAACGCGACGCGATTTTTTAGTTTTTGAAAGTAAATAAAACAGCCAATTAGAGCAAATTTTGAAAGGTATGTAGACCAAATAACTCAAAATGTTATAATGCTTCTAAATATTTGGAAAATTTTAACTAGGATCAAATTTTTCGTTCAATGAAAATCGAAACATCACGTCGCGTTAATAGAGACTCCTGCCCACTGACCTATATAAAGCCAATACCCCTGCCGTGAAACAAGATATTAGCTATAAAACACATCAATATACAATTGACTAATAAAGTATTTTCAATTGTTCGTAAATGATATGTTGAAACAGAGACAGGATAAGTACAATAATATAGTTAAACGTGAAAAGAATCACGTATAAATACATCACTGTTGCACTTTTATTATGTCTACATTGAGTGAAATAATATTCGACATGAGCGCAGACTTCATATCGGATCGTATTACATTTCGGAATTCTAACAACAACATCTTGGAGAGTTGAGTCTTAATTTAAACAATAAACATCGGCACTCAACGAAAGTGTGCGGTGGGCCAAACTATATTAATATACGCGCGCTGTGTATATTTAAGTACTTAACACACATATTTAATTTAAAATTCGAGAATGGGATTATTCCTGAAAAATTGAAGCTTGCAATAGTAACACCAATCTTCAAAGCAAATGAAAATAATAAATTTGAAAATTACAGACCAATTTCAGTTCTCTCTTGCTTTTCTAAATTACTTGAAAAACTCATGTACAACAGGTTAATTAACTTCATTGATAAAAATCAAATTTTATCAAAACACCAATATGGATTCAGGAAAAATAGATCGACAGAATTTGCCATTATTGAACTTGTGGATATAATTACAAAAGGAATAGAGCAAGGACAATATACACTCGGTATCTTCCTTGACCTATCAAAAGCATTCGATACAATTAATCACAGGATTCTGATTGAAAAACTGGAGCATTATGGAATAAGAGGAATCTGTTTAAAATGGTTTAAATACTACTTAGAGAATAGAAAACAAACTGTCAAGTACAATACAATAAAATCTGATGAAATGATAATTACAAGTGGAGTGCCTCAAAGATCAATACTCGGACCAATACTATTTTGGCTGTATATTAATGATATACAAAATTGCAGTAGAATAGTTTCAATTATCCTTTTTGCAGATGACACAAATATATTTTATAGTCATACTTGTCTTAAAAAATTGAATGAAATTATGCAAACTGAAATAAATAAAATATCTGACTGGTTAAATACAAATATATTGTCTTTAAACACTAAAAAAACTAAATTTATGTTATTTAGGTCATCCAAGAGGAAACAAAGATATAATATAACAATATTTATAAACAACGAAAAAATTAAGCAGGTTAAAAGTACAACATTCCTAGGTGTTGTTATTGATGAGTGCCTAACATGGAAGGATCATATTGACTTAATTCCTAAGAAAATAATGAAAGCCTCGAGCATCATTTCTAGAATACGTCACTTTACCAACTTAAATGCTTTGAAGTTAATTTATTATGCATTAGTCTATCCATATCTAATTTATGGCAATTTAATTTGGGGTAGCACCTATAAAACGAGAATACAGAAACTAATGAACATACAAAAGAAAATTATCCGATTAATGACATTCAAGTCATACTCTGAACATTGTGAAACAATTTTTAAAAACTTAAAAATACTAAATATTTATCAAGTCAACGATTTTTTAATAAGTTTATTCATGTTTCGATATTTCAACTTAAAAAATCTACCTGAAATATTTATGAACTATTTCAAAACTAACAACGAGGTTCATCACTACAATACAAGAAAAATATCTCAGCTTCATAAATCTTATAATAGAACTAACTATGTAAAACATACTCTTTCGAACAAAGGAGTTGATATTTGGAATGGTTTAGAAAAAAAAATACAAGCATATTAGTTCACCCATCACTTTTAAAAGACAAATTAAAAAACACTTCTTACAGATTCAAAACTACAAAAGAAGTTGTTTTTTTTACTGCCAATTGTTTTTACTGTCATGTAGACACGATGCTGTATAAAATTATAAAATTTTATAGCAAATATAAAAAGTTAGAATTAAACTTGTACATATTTTTATTATAATTAGTATAATACCTTAATTTTGTTTCAAGTTTTGAACTGCCAAAGACTTTATATATTAATTTAATTAAATAAACTAGGGGCCTTAATAAAAAGCCTGTTCGGGTTTCTAGTAGGCTCCTAGCCCTATAATAGA